CAGGTTTGTACCACCATTCCTGGCTCTCATATTTAGCATTTTTATTGGCAGAGTGATCTTTTGTGAGCATCAGAGGGAACTTAGTAGCATTTGGCTTGGTTGTTTACTCAGTACTGACCTTACCACTCTTGGGTGGCTGGCTTTCTTCTCCACCCTCTGTGATTTTCCACTGTGGTCTGTTTAATAGTCCTATTCTCCTGCTTATCTCCCTTCTTAACTTGGAGATGGAGAGGTAAGCACAAATGGGGTAGGTAGGGCCTTTGTGTCAGAAATGGCAGCAGCCTTGTTTATGGTGTCCTCTTTTTTGATTTTTTTTTTTTTTTTTTTCCTCTTGAGACAGGGTCTCACTATATATCTCTGGCTATCCTGGAATTCACTCTGTAGGTCAGGCTGGCCTTGAACTCACAGAGATTTGCCTGCCTCTGCCTCCTAAATGCTGGGACTAAAGGCATGTGCCACTATGACTAGTCCTCTTTTCTTATATGTGTACCTAGGCCACTCTGACTGGTGATGTAGCTGGGATCTCTGAGATTACAACTCTGTGACGTAATTCTGTCCTCAGAGATAAGGGTGAAGGGCAAGCTGCAGGACTGGGCCTTCGCATTCTCGATAAGACTCAGCCTTCTGTTTCTCTGGATCCAGAGAGAGGGACTCTAGGGGTTTGTATCTAGGGAGTGGCCTGGAGCCTGGGAGGAAAGCAGTGGGGTGGGCAGTGTGAACAGGAAATCCTGAGGGACCTGGGGAATAGGTGGCTTGTTCTGGCATCTGTGGCTCTCCTGCTGGGACAGGCTGGGAAGGTAAGTTCTAAATTACTTAAAGAATTTTTTTTCCCTGAGATAGCAATTCACTATCATTTCCTGACTGGCCTGGAACTTGCTACGCCGACCAGACTGGCCTTGAACTCATAGTAATCAGCCTGCCTCTGCTAGAATTAAAGGTAGGACATCTCATACCTGGTCTAGAAGTTCCAAATTCTTGGCCAAGAGGGCCTGACGTGGGCTGGAGCTCTAAAGCTTCCTGGTTCCAACTGACACTTCAGTGTTTGGACCCCTCTACTTCACCTCTTTGTCCCTAGGCCAGGCCACCCTAAGAGTATGAAGTTTACTGTGGGTTCCTTTTCCCAGAATCCAGCCCGATGGCTGGCTTAGATGCTCTTGGTTGCTTCTTTAACTATTTCCTGGTGGCTATTTGCAGGGGTGGGAGGTGTTTTCTTGAGACCTGCGTGCAGGGGTGGGGCTTCCTGAGATGCTCGCTGAGCAATTCTTTCCATTCTGGTCTGGGCATGAGTTCCTGGCAGTCAGGAGGGCAAGCTGCCTGGACCAGTCAGCTGCTCTTTTCTGTCCTTCCCTCCAACACACACCCTGTTGCTGTAACCCCAGCAGCTCAGCCTTTTCTCTATAGATTCCAGAGTCTTAACATTTCATATGGCCCAAGAGAGCCAGAGGTAGAGTCTGACCTCAGTAGGCCAGGTACAAACTAGACTCCCTGATACAACCCAGGGTTTAGTGGGGAACGGTATACTCAGATGCCACATTGAAAACCTTGGCCACCAAAAATAGCTGTCGGAACCAAATACACACTCCTGTGGCCACCATGACTGAGTCAGGGAGAGGCTCTGGTACTTTCCTGAGATGGGATGGATTACCTGAGAGATACAAGCTAAGACATGGAACTACCAGGATGGGACATGGCATGGACACTTGGCTCACAAGCTGGTGTTTGCTCACAGAGAAGCTGGATGCCTCCTGAACTTAGACTGCTCACCATTCTCTGTAGCCCCAGGATGTTGTGAAGCCCTCACAGCCCCTGGATGAGCCCAGAAGACCTGGTCGTAGCTTCAGGCCTCATCTGTACTCTGCCTCCTCGGCTCCATCCTTGCCCTTCCTCCTACCTATTGTCCTCCTCTGGTCCCCATGCCTTGGCCTACCTAGGAAAATGGCTGGCCACTTCCAGACTCTATTTTTACATCTGTTAGATGGGTATATCCTGGGATGAAAGTTCAAAATCTACTTCAGTCCTGCCAGTTTGATTCTGTATAGTCAGGCTAACAGAACAGAAAACTTGAGAGCAGAATGGCATATCCCTTCCCTAGGAATCTATATACTGGTAGATGCTAGCCAAGACCTCAGCCCTAGTGGAAGCCTTGGTGGTAGGATCCTCGTGGAGTACAGGCAGGAGCTGGGGCCTGCACAGAAGCCAAGTCAGGGGTTCTGAGTTCCAGAGGTTCTCGCTGGTCTAACAGATGTTGTCCTTGCCATGACTCTGATGAGTGTGGCAAAGGCTGGCAACTTCCTGGTTGGTACTAATACAAGGGGTTTACTCTCTTGAACCTGAGGTCAGACAGCCAGGATTGTATTGTGGCCTAGGATTAGCTCGTGGGTGGGTATCCTCTAGATTCTGACATTTCGAATGGTCCCCCTTGTGCTGATGAATGGGACTGGAGCTACTGTGGGGAGGGGAGGCTGAATGGTTAGGCATCCGTTTCTGTGTAAGCCTGCTCTTGTCATTTCTGGAGGATGAGACCAAAGCTATGACGGATGAGAGGTTGGGACAGACAGACCATCCAAATAAGGAACTCAAACAGAAGGACAGCAGAGTTGGCCTTGGGGGCAGGCCTTGACTTCATTATACCCAGTGAGGTATTCTGGTCAACCTTCATTCTGCTAAGCCTCCAGTGTCTTTGAAATGACAATGCTCACCTGCTGGACTACTCTAAGGAGTTAGAGAAATCACAGCTGAAAACAGCCAGAGGGGCATGCATCTTCCCTTTTCATTTTTACGGTTCCTCGGGAGGCACTGTCACTGGTGATGAACCCATTTTCCAGGTGCGGACACTGATGCATAGCAACATCCCTGCTTCAGAAAGGCAGGTGACTAAGAACTCAGACAATTATACCGGGATCAGGCAGGTCCACTGGCAAATTCCTCTTGACCACAAGCATGACAGGGCAGGGCCAGGGAGGACAGGAGGGAGGCCCATGAGTAAGCAGCTGAGCTACTCTAGACCTTGGAGCCCCATCCCTGGCAGTGAGTCACTCTTCACCCCCACATCACCACAGCCTCACACTCAGGGAAGTGGGAGGGACAGCTGTCTGCGAAGCCAAGGGCAAGCCCTGAATAGCCCATTCCCAGGGCCATAGATGGCTCCCAGAGCTGTCATTGAGCCCTGAGATCACTGAACCACCCCATTTCCCTTGTACCTTGTGAAGGGCCAGGTCATTGTGACATCATGGCTTGGTGGCACTGTTGGGACTCTGACAACAGGGCCTTTCTTGGCAGTGCCTGTGGACGGTTTAGCCATCAGCCTGCACAACCACCCCAATGGTGGTTGTCAGATAGACCAGGGTTATTGAGATGAGTGCCATAATGAAATGACAGGCACATCAACACCAAAGGTAACCTGCTTTGTGCTCTTCCTTCCACTAGAATGCCATTCTTTCTGTGGAGTCAGAAGGGGACTCTGAAGGGTAGGGAGTAGCATTTAGGGGAAGAAGCCTTTTGGTCAGACGATGGGACAGGAAAGGACCTGCTTCTTGTATCTTGCTTGTGATTATTCTGTCCTTCGGTCTTAAACTCACTCTTCACTGTTGGTACCCATTTCCCCAGGGGCTCTGCCCTGCTCACTGCCTGCCTCCTATGCTTTTCTGCCTGGCTCACTTCTTGTACCCTCACTGTCAAAAGAAGAGCTTTCTTCTCTCTGGCTTGACACATTCTTGCTCTGGGGAGATGAAGAACAGCTTTCCTCAATGTGACCAGCTCAGAGACCTGGCCTGTCACTCGATACTGACCACTTTCCCTTGTGAATAGCTTCTGTTGTCCTGAGAGATGATGTGGCGGCCCTCTATCTGATCTCTGCGCTGCACTAGGTGCCCTGAAAAGAGAAGCTGGGACTCTAGTGCTTCCAGCAGCAGCTGAGGGTGCTGCTGGCCTGGATTTGAGGGTCTTCCCTGTAAGGCAGGGGGTGTACACAGGAAGGGGTGGTTCTGAGGGAAATTAGGATACCTCTTCCTTAGGTTGTCTGTTTCCTCATCGCTACCATCTCAGAGGCCCCACAGGCTGTGAAGAACTTGGCTGAGGAGGCCTAGAGAGTACAGCATGACACAAAGGACATATACCAAGACCCCAAAATGCTCCCTCTGTTCAGGCTGTGCTCCTAAGTGGGGTATCTAGGACAGTGGGAGCTGCTTTACTCTGCTAGGCCTTGAGGCTCACTTCAAGTGAGCATAGCACCTGGAGTGCCCCTCTCCCTGACTGGAGCTCCCAGCAAGTTGCAGGGCTCTCCTGTCAGAGGCACTCCATCCTGTGCTCTCCCTCCTCAGATAACTTTCCTTGACCCTGCCACTACTGCCAGGCAAAGCCAGTGAAGGGAGCAGCAGGCACAGGCTGCCACATGTCTCTGTGGTGGGAACCCGAATGTCCTGTCTCCTGCCTGCCCCACCCCTCCCTCGGGGCCTGGCAGCTCTGGCACAGTGGCAGGCTTGTTTTCCTCCTCCTCCTTTCCTGCTCAGCTTCTAGCCTGGCTCCACCCTGTGTCTGGCTCTCAACTTGCTGCTCCGGCCAGCTGCTATGGGAGCTGGGCTGACCCCTCCAGAGGGTCCCAGCTGGTCAGCCCTGTGACTCACCAGGAAGCCCTGCCAGGGGCCATTCAACTTCTTCCCTGGTTCCACTGTCGAGCCACCATGGCAAGGTTTCCTTGCAAGGGAGTTCCTGGGTGGAGGACAGGGAGTTCTGCGGTTGTGATGCTGGCTGTCTGACTAATTCCCACTCTTACTCTGCTGTGGGACAGGGAAGGGGAGGCCCCAGATAAAGGCTGCTGTGACAATATAAAAGCCAGGGGCCCAGCGGGTGGTGGCCTGTGGGCAGTGAGTGGCATGTCTGGTCTAGAGACATAGCCTGTAAGGGAGCAAGGATGGAATGAGTGGTCAAGAACTCATGACTGCTTGCTTGTTTCCTATTGCAGGTCCCAGCAACTGGGGTTTCCCCTCAGCCCTTGAGTGGCCATGTCCAATCCCACTGCCCCACCTCCCTATGAGGACCGAAATCCTCTGTACCCTGGTCCTCCACCTCCTGGGGGCTACGGGCAGCCATCTGTCCTGCCAGGTGGATACCCTGCCTACCCTGCCTACCCTCAACCAGGTTACGGTCACCCTGCTGGCTATCCACAGCCGATGCCTCCCATCCATCCAATGCCCATGAGCTACGGTGAGTCTTGGAGCATGGCTGGGGGTGGCTGGGATGAGGTAGACTTGGGGTCCAAGGAGGCCTTTCATTACCTTCCTCCTACCATCCCCTTTGATACCCTTTTCCTCTTCCTGTCCCACCTTCCCCTTAGCCTCCTGTTCCTCCCTCCAGCCACTTGCTGACCTATTGTATTCAGTAAGGAGACTGAGGCCATAAGACATATGCCAGAATTAATGGCTTCTAGGTGGTTGCCTAAAGAACCATTCTGGTTTCTCAACAAGGCTGTTGCCACTGTGTGGGGGCTCCATGTCTTCCTTAGGAACCCTAAGCACCTTTTTGTTTTTAATATCCTAGGGCTGACATCTCCATCCTTTATATACAGTCTGATTTTTGCCAACAGCCAAAATGTCATGGTTGGTCAGTGAAGGTGAGGTTAGACTACAGTAAGCCTCCTTTCTGGGGGGTGGATTTTGCATTTCTTTTTGGTATGGGAAACTGAACTCAAGGTCATTATATGCTGAGCATGTGCTCTGCCTATGAGCTGTACCCCAACTCCTCTGGGTAGACTTTGGAAGCAGTTCCCAAAGAGGCATCCATGGAATGTTGGTGGCTTGCAGTAGCCTCAGTGTTCCAGAGCCAGTAAGTGTGTGGCCAACTCCTCTGTGGGCATGTGTTCTGAGGCAGACCTTAAGGTGTCACTTACAGGTGACAGTTGCATGTGCATTGTGAAGACTGCTGTAGAACACAGACCTTGCCCTCCTGTACCTACTGTCTGTGTACTTCTCCCCTCCTTTTCTCTGCCCCCCCCATCCCCAAGGCTACTGCTCTGCCAGCCAGTTCTACTCCCTAGATGCCAGCTGCTTCCCTAGATGGTGATGCCACTATCCTGCCCCCAGTGATGGGGGCTGGGCACAGAGCCTACAGCAGTACCCGTTGACAGCTCTTTCTCACCTAAGCCCAGTTGGGGTCATTCTGAGGGTGCGGAGTAACTCTAGCTTAATAAAGGAGTCTGTGAGTTACAAATGTGTCTTCTTCTGGACAGAGGTACCCGAGCCTTTGTCTGAGACAGGGTCAGGGGTGCTTTGAGATAGAGGCTACCTGTCGTAGGTCCCCAGTTGTTTGATGAGATCTGTGTCTGGTCCCAGGCCATGACTCTGCAGAGGAGAGCCCCGTAAGTGACAGCTTTAGTTCTGGAGAATGGGATGACCGGAAAGTCCGACATACCTTCATCCGAAAGGTGAGATATGGTCTGGATCTTGGGAGATGCCTAGGCACAGGTACACATGCCCACATAAATGCCTTAGTTGCCTGTCTCCTTATCCTCAGAGGGGATCCCCCCTATTTTTTAAATTTTTTATTTATTTTTATCTTAGTTGCCTGTCTCCTTATCCTCAGAGGGGATCCCCCCTATTTTTTAAAATTTTTATTTATTTTTATCTTGTGTGTATGGTTGTTTTTTTTTTGTTTTTTTTTTTTTTTTTGTTTTTTTCGAGACAGGGTTTCTCTGTGTCTTTGGAGGCTGTCCTGGAACTAGCTCTTGTAGACCAGGCTGGTCTCGAACTCACAGAGATCCTCCTGCCTCTACCTCCTGAGTGCTGGGATTAAAGGCGTGCGCCACCACCGCCTGGCTTGCATTGTTGTTCTTGCCTGTATGTATGTCTATGTGAGTGTCTCAGATCTTGGAGTTAGACAGCTGTGAGTGCCATGTGGGTGCTGGGAATTGAACCCAGGTCCTCTGGAAGAGCAGTTAGTGCTCTTAACCACTGAGCCATCTCTCCAGCCCTGGGATCCCCCTCTTTATGATCCCTTTTGCCTTGACTTTGTTTTGGGATGATGGAGTCAACCTGGTAAAGTCTATTTGGATTCTGCGCTTCCCCTCCCACTGTTCTGTTAGACAGCAAGCAGCAGGGAGCTGAAATGAACACGCTGTGTCTAAGTCACCGCACATCCCTTCTCTTAACCCTTGTCTCAGAGAATTGCTCTTAGTACAGGAGCAGGCAGGCATGACAAGAGAACAGTAAACTGAATATAAGCTGGATGCTGGCTAGGAGGAAAGGGGCCAAGAAACACTGGAGGGGGCAGTGGAGTCACTTCTATGCTAGTCTGCAGTCAGGGAAGAATCTTTTTTTTTTTTTTTTTTTTGTTACGGGTTTTTTTTTTTTTTTTTTTTTTTTTTTGTTCACCACTTAACATGTCTGGCTATCTGAGCCTTGGGATTCTGGAGGTCAAAGTCCCAGAGCTCCCCCTGCCTCTGCCTCTGCCTCCCGAGTGCTGGGATTAAAAGCGTGCACCACCAACACCCGGCTAGGGAGAATCTTTGAGGGCTCAAAAAGTAGAGTCTTGCCAGATAGGCTCCAAAGCTACACAGAGAAACCCTGTCTCGAAAAAACAACAAAAAAATAAGAGTCCAAAGCTACACAGAGAAACCCTGTCTCGAAAAAACAAAAAAAAAATAAGAGTCTTCCAAATTACAGTCATTTTTTTTTTGTTTTGTTTTTTTTTGTTTTGTTTTTTCGAGACAGGGTTTCTCTGTGGCTTTGGAGGCTGTCCTGGAACTAGCTCTTGTAGACCAGGCTGGTCTTGAACTCACAGAGATCCGTCTGCCTCTGCCTCCCATGTCTCTGATTAAAGGCGTGCACCACCACTGCCCATCAATTCTTTGTCTTTTCAAAACTGATTTTATTTTTGATTAAGGTGTGTGTGGGGGTGGGGTGGGGTCTGTGGGTATGTGCATGCGAGTGCAGTATCAAGGAGTCCAGAAGAGGGCATCAGATCCTCTGGAGCTAGAGTTACAGGTAGTTGTGAGCTGCCTGATGTGGTTGCTGGGAACTGAACTCAGGTAGGACCATGAACAATATATGCTCTTAACCACTGAGTCCTCTCCCCAGTCAAAGCCTTCCAAACTAAAAAGAGACCCCTTGTATCACTAACAAGACAGGGGTGGGTTGGTGGGTGGGGAAAGGTGGGAGAGGCTAGTATGAGATGTGAGCTGTATCCCTGGCTGTCTGTTCTAGGTCTATTCCATCATTTCCGTCCAGCTGCTGATCACCGTGGCCATCATTGCTATCTTTATCTTTGTGTGAGTCTTTTCCTTCTCCCAGCCTGGGTTACCTGCTGAGCTGCCCATGGAGGGGTGGCTCTCAGCTGGAGGCAGACTATCCATTGTATGACTCCTCTCTTGGCATCCTCTGTTTCATAGGGAACCACTCAGTGACTTCGTGAGGAAAAATGTGGCTGTGTACTACGTGTCCTAGTGAGTGCATGGTATTGCTGCTGGGATGGGAGATGGGGGCAGGAGGCAGCTGACCAACTTTTGTTCAGGGCGGGGGTTAATATGCCCTAGGAGAGAGGCCCTCCCAGAAGCTGGTGCCAGGCTTCAGGCAGCAGGGGCTGGGGGCCACCTGAGGGGGAGTAACATCACAGAATGCTAGAACAGGACCCGCTAGACAGAGTGTGGTGGTGACATGTAGAGTTCTTGGTGCTGTCCAGGCTCTCTTACCCAGTGTCTGTGATCACTCTACACATCTTTCTGGTCCAAACCCTGTCCCAGGCTTCTCAGTGCCCTGGCTGAAAATCTTGCCCTTGCTTCCTACAAAGAAAGTAGCTTGTCAAGAAGCCTAGGCTGCTGAGCGCTGTGCTGCCCCAATGGGCTAGAGGCAGGCCCAGGGTGGTTTGGACTATAGCTATGTCCTGTCTCTTCTTCCAGTGCTGTCTTCATCATCACCTACTTGATCCTTGCCTGCTGCCAGGGACCCAGGTGAGTGCTGGGGACCCAGACAGAAGGAGGGCAGAAAGTGGGACAGGGACAAAGGGTTCATACAGTGGTAAGAGACTTGCGAGGGGCACGTGTGAGGAAGAGGTGGTCAGCGGTTACAGAGTGTGACACCTACCTATCTATTGTCCTTACAAGATACACAAGAGTCATACATGTAAGATAATACAGCATTGCGAGCATTTAACAAACAAAGACAAAAGGGAAGGAGGCAGCAAAACAGCTCACTAGATAAAGGTATGATACCTAATGATCAAAGTTTGAGGCTAAGACCCACATGTTGGAAGAAGAGAAATGATTCCCACAAGCTGTTCTGGGGGTGCATGTATACATACACAAGTAATAAAAAATTAAAAATACAAAAGGGAAAATCACGAATCCCTGTCAGGAGGAACTCAAAGGTTCAAAAAGGCTGAGGAACTTTGTCACGGTCACACAGGCCATGTGAGTGCTCTAACAAGTTTTGCGGGCTCCATAGGCAGGTCTGTCCCAGGTTATCCATGTGTAAACACTTGAGTACCCTCCCTAAAGGAAAGGCTTATTCTTTAGAAACTTCCTTCTGCTGAAGGAACTGCTAAGATTGATGGGTGCAAAGCAGGTTAAAACTAGGTTTGCTTCTCTCTCTCTCTCTCTCTCTCTCTCTCTCTCTCTCTCTCTCTCTCTCTCTCTCTCTTCAGACGCCGGTTCCCATGGAATATCATCCTGTTGATTATCTATGTAAGTCTAAAAGGGGAATGAGAGGCCTCTCCCAGAGAAGAGTTGGGGACACCTTGTGGAAAGATGTCCCTGGCTGTCTCTTCACTGTACCGTGAGGTTGTAGGTTAAGATATCTTTATTTGGGCTGGAGAGATGGCTCAGAGGTTAAGAGCACTGACTGCTCTACCAGAGGTCTTGAGTTCGATTCCCAGCAACCACATGGAAGCTCACAACCATCTGTAAAAAGATCTAGTGCCCTCTTCTGGCCTGCATACATACAGACAGAACACTGTATACATAATAAATAAATAAATCTTAAAAAAAAAAGATATCTTTACTCAAATAATACCGGCCAAGCATATGCCAGAGAGTGCCCAGAGACAGCAAGCTAGGGAGGCCAAAGAGAGAGCACCTTAAGAATTCTCCAAGCATCATCCTGAACCTCCCCTGACCACGCCCTGACAGGCGTGGTTAAGCACACCTGTAGCCAACTCTTAGGAAGTGTGGTTACATGTCTCCCTACACTTCACCTTACCTGGCCCTGATGCTTTCCTTCGTGGCTATTCTTTCCAGTACAGTTCATCTATCCTCAGCTCTGGTAGGGCCACAGTGACCAGTGTTGAGGATGGACCTCAGACCCTGACACTTGCTGTTTTTTAACTGTTGGCCTTGTTTCTTTCCTTCCTTCAGACTCTGGCCTTGGGCTTTATGACGGGCACCATTTCCAGGTATGCCTAGGGACATTCTTCCATAATCTTGGGAAGGGAGTGTTGGAAAGGGTTGGACAGACTGTGGGCACAATCCTGGACATATTCTTTCCCATCTCAACTCTTCCTTCTCTCCAGCACGTACCAAACCAAAGCTGTCATCATAGCAATGATCATCACTGCTGTGGTATCCATTTGTGTCACCATCTTCAGCTTTCAGACTAAGGTGAGGATGGGGACGGTCCTTCCCTGGCCACCCAGTCCTTTTATACATCCATACCTTTGGGTTTGGCGCTTGGGCAGGCCTGGGAGGGCCCAGAACTTTGTAGACCAGGGATTTCCCTACCTAATGTCTTGCTGTCATGTCTGTACCTGCCAAGTTGCTTCCTGTATGTGTCCTTAGCATATCACGGTCACTGCCATGCCCCCCTGGAGCAGCACTGAGACTCCCCAACTGGGTGCAGCGTCAGTCCTCTGGGATGCGTAGGATGGCAGTTAACTGACAGTACCTCCTTCTCCCTTTCTTCTAGGTGGACTTCACCTCGTGTACAGGCCTCTTCTGTGTCATGGGAATTGTGTTGATGGTGACTGGGATTGTTACTGGCATTGTGCTGTCATTCAAATATGTGAGTGTCCTGCCACAAGTGCAGGCAGTGACCCAGCTGCAGACTTCCTGTAGAGCAGGAGTGGGCTCTGGCTCCCACACCTCTCCAATAGCTAGTGCTGGCACCAACACAATACCATCCTTTTGGGTTAGCGTAATTCTTTTGGCAGATGGTAAGGCATAGCCCCTTGGGCCCTGGGTAGCACCACTGAATTCCTACAGGAAATGGTAGGTTAACTGAGAACAGATTCTATGAGGCAAAGCTAAAGGGCCAAGTTAGCCTGGATGTGAGGGGCTCTGATGCCTTCTCTGCTTCCAATCAGCCGAGGGCAGACCACAGGGCTGAAGGGGAAGGATCAGGACAAGAGGTGCTGCCTGCTCCACCATGGCTGGTCCTGGTCTGTGCACAGGCACTTGGCAGCGGTGTTGAGCAGGGTAGCAGGCAACTCAAGGTTGCTGATGGGCCTCTTTTAAGCTGTCCATCCCTAAAGTAGGAGCCAGTGAGCAGCTTAGCTGGGCCTGCCCCTCCTGAGTTTGCTCTGCTCAGTTGCCTTGTTTTCAGGACCTATAACAGACACTCCTATACTTTGACTGAAAGGTGATGAGGCTGGTTTTACATGGGTGCTGTGGCACAGCCTCTGCTCTCTGGCAAATAAATCACATTCTTAGTTTCTCCCAGGATCTAGAGGCAGGGTAGGGGACCCTGGAGAGGTAGCTCCCTTGTTCTCCTGCTCTGCTGCTGGAGTCCCATGGTTGTCATGCTTTGCTTGGCTTCCTAATGCTGTACTGTGCTATTTCACAGATTTACTGGCTCCACATGGTCTATGCTGCTCTGGGGGCCATCTGCTTCACCCTGGTAAGTTTGGTTCCTGTACTGGGAGGGGAAGCTGAGAGCGTAGAGATGGAATTTAGGCAGCTTGGGAAGTGGGGAGGGGCCACGGACAACTGTTCTCTTTCCTATTTGGAGGTTCGAGAAGTTTCTGGCATCCCTGTTGTCTTTTGTTCACAATGTACCACACTACTCCTTAGTGATCCCATTAGCAAGCAGGATGGACAGCACAGCTCTCAGGGCATTCTGCTGACCAGAGATGAACTCTGGATGCTGAGCTCCTGGGCACTCATGTCTGACTTCCCTGCAGTTCCTGGCTTACGATACACAGCTGATCCTGGGGAACAGGAAACACACCATCAGCCCAGAGGACTACATCTTAGGTGCCCTGCAGATCTACACTGATATAGTCTACATCTTCACCTATGTACTACAGCTCATGGGGAATCGAGACTGAGCGTTATCCCCTTCACTGGCCTGGGACTCATCCTTTCCTATTGGGCTGGGCCCTAGGTCCTTTCCCCCTCAAACTGCCCAGTTTCCTCTCTGTCCTGGGGATGGGAGGGCCTCTGGCTGCATTATATGAGAACCAAGGGTGCTGAAGTTACTGAAAACTCTTGCCCTTGGTGGGCTTGGTAAGGACTAGAGACTGAAGTATCTTTTCCCCTTTATCCACAGTGAGCATGCACAAAACTTCTAGAGTGTGGTGGGGGAGGAGTGGGGAGCCTGTGAACACAGGCGCTTCAAGGTGAAGAGGCTCCCGTCCCGCCTTGGCCATAGGGTTCTAGGCTAGGGAGCTGGAGCTGTTCCCCTCCTGGATCCAATAAAGCCAGATGTCTTGCCCTCCTCTCCAGTACTCACAGGCCACTTACCCTGTCAGAACTCTTTAGGCTTGGCATCTCTTAGCTCTGAAAGCTACATCTGTGCCCTACTGTCTCCCTGTTCCAACCCCCTCCTCCAGTAACATGTATAGATTATTTATCTGGGTTAGGGGAAAGACAGTGAGCAAAGTTCATTCAGTATGGTGGGTTAAGAATGGTATCCACCTGGCTGGCACCCATCCTGTCTACCATCCTGGCCCAAAGTGCTCAGGGCCATCTGAGACTTCTAAAAAGGGCCCTCCTACTTTCTCTGCTTAGAAACTTAGGAGAAGGTGAGAGGTGGAGGTCAGCAAGTAAGGTGGTTTGTAGGATCCTGAGTGTGGCTGGGAAAGGAGTCTGGGGAAGAGATGGGTGGGGACAGGGAAAGTGCCTTGGGTTCCCTCTCTGGTCTAAGAAACACTGAAGCCCACTCTGGTACCTAGTGATCTTCCCTTCTAACACAAGTTCGGTCTGCTGGGAGGTTTTAGACGAGAACTCCTCTCCAAGCTAGCTACTGCTTTCTGTATAATCCAAGTACCTCCAGCTGGTACCAGGGTGGAGACAGAAGCCAGTTTTATCAGGTGGGGTGGGACACCTTATTAGCCCAAGGACATGATTAGACCTATTCTGTCCAGTCCTTGCTTCTGAATATATCACAAAGGGACACAACCAGAAACGTAATAAAATTTTATGTTGGCATTGAGACTCTGAGTAGCTGTGGTGTTCTTAACTGTAAGGTGGTGGCTTTGGCAAAAGTGTCCACTTCCTTTGCATCCCAGGCTGAGTTTCCAGCCTGTTCTATTGAACCAAGCAAATTTCCTTGGAGCAATTCTGGTGATGGGTGAGACAGGTTGCTGAAATGTCAAAAGTTGGCTGGGGAAGGGAGCTCCAATCTGCACTTTGCATCATGAACCCTCTGTAAACATTTGATAGTTTATTTTTTTTTTTGGCAGGAAAGGGGATAGACCATGGGTTTAGAATTTCTCTTATAAATGAGGAAAATGAGGTGGCTCTGAAGACTTGGGTCTCCAAGGTCTATACCTAGGCATGTTGCACTTGAGTCTGTGGTTACTTCACCACCCAGCTGGGAACACAGGTCTTCTGTGAGGGAACAGGGATGAACAGCCAGCCCCACTCTGCCCCTCCCCTCCCTGGGGCTTAAAAATTCAGCCCTGCTTTCTTTCCATGCCAGTACTTAATAACTTTATTTGCCTTTGGCTGGTTCCTCTGTGCGGAAGAGGTGGGCGCTTGGGGCAGCTTGAGCATCATGCGCCCTCTGGTGGGCCGCTGGGGAAATGACCACAATTAGCCACACAGGACTCCAGTCAACAGTCTAGTGCAAGGCTGCAGTGGTCCTCACTCAGTTCTGTACCCCAGACCCAACTTCAGGGACCTGGGCTTGCTGGGAGGAAGCCCTGAACCTCTGGCTCTCATACTCGCCCGTGTTGGACACCCGCATGTTCTGCCGAGCCTTCATCTGCTTCAAACGGTTCTTGTCCACTTCCTGCTTGGTGAGGACGAAGAAGAGGATACCACAGGGGAAGCCGATGGCCCTAGGGATGGGGAGATGTGCACCGGGTTTGGGCAGGGACTGGGACTGAGCCAGAGGAGCTGGAAGAATCAGTCCAGCTTTGACAAATGTCCAAATGCTGTTGTGATACCTCTGTATCTACCTGTCTTTATGCCGGCTGCTGGAGGGACCCCACAAATCTGATCCTGCTGCTGCTTGCTAAGACACTGTTAACAGCTTTCTAGTGTACCCTGGTCAACTCCAAACTCTAGGCATGGCAGACACTAAAGGCCCAGTGTGGTCCTGCCTACCTCTTCATTCTTCTTGCTATAGCTGAAATTTATCGGCTCTTCTGCTGAATGCTCATGTGTGACAGTGATAGCCCTCTTTGAGTTATCAAGGTTCCCCTCTGCCTAAATAGCCTCACATCCCTTCCCAGACCCCTCTTTTTTCTTTTTGGTGCTGCAGATTGAACTTAGGGATTCAAGATTATTATTATTATTATTTTTTTTTTTTTTGGTTTTTCGAGACAGGGTTTCTCTGTGTAGCTTTGGAGCCTATCCTGGCACTTGCTCTGGAGACCAGGCTGGCCTTGAACTCATAGAGATCCGCCTGCCTCTGCCTCCACCTCTGCCTCCCGAGTGCTGGGATTAAAGGCGTGTGCCACCAATGCCCAGCGGGCTTCAAGAATGTTAAACACGTGCCTAACCACTAAAGTATATCAACCAACAGTTATCTTAATCTTACCAACTACTACTCATAGGGGGTCTGGGTAGGAGCCCAAGAGCATGAAGTCACAACCTGGTGAGAATCCCAGCTGGGAGCCCCAGTTCCCTCCTTGGTGAGACGGAAGTGCAATGTTTACCTCAGAAAGCTTAAAATGTTATATGGCAAAGTACTGTCATACCTCAGGCACTTGCTGGAAACAAAATGTTAATTTCCTTTCCCTTTAATGTTGACCAAAAATATGTATTAAAACCAGAATCAGAAGCAAATAAACCCACAAAACCATTTCTAGCTTCTATACAACATATTTCAACACAATTTTAAGTGATTACTGAGACTGGGATCTTATCCCAGCTCCCAAAAGGAAGGATGAAGCCAGTGACCCAAATTCAAACCAGATCAGCTCAAGTTGCTCCACCGTAAGACAGTCTCCTCAAAGTTCCCCTCACCATCTCACCCCCATCTCACTCTGAGCTTCTATCCCTGGAACCCAGCGATTCTCTTCCTTTGGACTCAGCTCATCATCTGCAACTTAAGTTTCTAGGTTGACATCCATCCCTTGCGTGCATTCCCCACTGGTAGGCAAAGGGGCAGTTAAAACTCACCAGGCTAGTCCCACAGCTTTCATGGGGTTCTTGCCCCTCTTTCTGGGGATGTATTCCAGCTCAGGAGAGAGGGGCTCAGGCTCCTCCTTGCACTCCGGTGAGCTGTGGCTCTGCAGTGCTCTGGTCCTGTTCTGGGAAGCCTTGTTAGCTGTGGCTCCAGAGAGAATCCCTGTGAATAAAAGAACGGTGGGGGTAGGTCAGTATAGGATGAGGGAGGGGAGGAGCGGCTGAGTTTTGAGGGAGGGGAGTGACTGCAGTTTGGAGTAACAAGTGCTGTGAAGAATCCAAAGAGAAATGGGAAAATCGCCATCGAGGTGACACCTTTGGAAGCTACTTCCACGTCACTGCGGGATCCTCATCCTCGTGCCAGGACAGCGAGCTTTGCTGCTTTCTATTCAGAAGACCGGTTGGGAAGGACTGCAGAGGGACTTACCGGAGACATACGTATGAAGGAAATCCTGGGAACTGTTTTAAAACTACAGGACCTTAGCTATTCCTAAGGATAGCTAACTCCATCCCCTCGTATTATAGAAGAGGAAACTGAAGCCCCGAGAGACGAGCTGCTCCGCACAAGGTCAAACCGCTAATTACCCAGTGCTAGAACTCAAGCCTCCAGAAGCCCAGGGCTCGCTCTTCTGCACTGCGGTGAGTGTGAAACCCCTGGAACGCGCGGGTGACGAAAGGCTTCTTTGGGACTCCCTCTATCAACAAGACCCTAGACATGCAGTGTAACCTGAACGCAGGGGTTAGATTGGGTGACCTCTAGAGCATCTTTCACCCCCAGACTCTCTAAGATCCTGCCGAGAGGTATGGACAGCAATTAGCAGCCTGACTTCCTGCTGTCGTGCTGGGTGGAATGTGAAGGGAATGGGATCTTTTAGAGCCCTGCCCTCCCGGGGGTCCCTCTCCTTACCCCGGAGGACGCGGGCATTTCTGGCCCCCCGGCCCTTGCCCCTCCCCCCCCCTGCGCCCTCCCCCCGCCGCCATGTTCAGGTCCCACCCCCCTTCACTGCGCTCCCCGCCGGGAATTGTAGTTTGCGTAAGGGGCCTCCCCCGCGCCTTCCGTCGTGCCTACAGCTCAGAAACTACATTTCCCAGAAGTCCGCGTAGCGGGCCCGGGAGAACTACTCCTCCCAGGAGACCCCGGAGGCGCGCACGCTCGCTTGTTTCCCTCCAGCTGGCTGCTGAGTCAGGTGGGGAGGAGCTTGGGTTCTCCCGCCACGCCCCGGCCTGGTCATCCCAGTTCTGTCTTGTGATTGGCGGCTCTGTCAGCCCACCTCCGTCGCTATTGGTCCGGATTCCGTCGCTCTTTCGGCCGGGAGTCGCCTACGCCTACTTCCTCCCGGGAGGAGGGGCTCGAGTTCCGCGTCGTCGCGCAGAGCTGACTCTGGGAGGCGTTTGGGCCCAGAGAAGTGGATCGGTAGGTTTCGCCGCATGGAGTCCGAATC